ATCGAGCAAAAGCACCATCTAAGGCCACACACCATGCACAATTCGCACACACAACCATCCCGTTCAGTTGCTGAAAGTCCTACACAACAGTCTGGCACAATCATGCTTTTTCCTTTCTTTGGAGTTGTACATTGTTTTTTTTTTTTTTTTTTTTTTTTTTAAAAAACACCCCGTTGTGCAAGGCCTCTATCCTGGGTAAGAGAACCACCGGAATTGAGGATTTGTATTTTGGGGAAAAAATAAAAATAAAAAAAAGGGGTAACTTCGGCGCAGTCACAAAAACAGTTTGTAATTGCATTTGAAACTGCATTTTAGCAGTTTAGTCAGGGCCCGAGTTCCAATTGCAGTTGAAACTCGGGCTGCCTTTAGGTAGCAGTTCACTCAGGGCCCTCGTCTATCCACGAACAGCAGATAAAGGGGGGAAAAAAAAAAAAACATCCCTTATGCTGTGATTGCGGTCAGATACAGGATGCTACAGTACTTGTCTGGAACTGAATGAAGCCAGGCAGTTAGCTGCCTCGTGGAATCCGCCCTGCCTGGCTGGCAGGGCGCTACAAGGACCTGACAACAAGAAACAAAAAAGGCAAACGACCTGTTTCATGTTCCTCACTTCCTGGCCAGATACATTCCTCAAAGCACTGGTGAAGTGAGGGCCTTCCCGAGGTAGTTCCTCGTTTCTTTGCTTTTTCATTTCTTCTTTTTCTTTTTTCTTTTCTTGGCCTCCATCCCTGCCCTGAGCCCCCCACTTCTTAGGAGTACGCTACTCTTGAGACTTCACGTTTGCCTGTGAAGGGTAGTGCCTGCGAATCTCGGCTGTGGCCGAGATTTTTTTTCCCAGCCGCGGATGCGGCACGCGACCAAAAAAAAATTAAAAAAAACGAAGAAAGAAAGACACGGCCGTGTGCCTGACTGAACTGCTAGAAAAAGCCCGCCCGTTCAAAAAAAAAAAAAAAAAAAAAAAAAAAAAAAACGACAAAAAAAAAAAAAAAAAAAAAAAAAAAACCCGGCCCGAGTTTCAAACTGCTAAAACGCAGTTTCAACTGCAATTGAAACTGGGGCCCTGACTAAAAAAACTGCTAAAACGCAGTTTCAAATGCAATAACCAACTGTAACCCTGACTGCGCCGTAGTTTTCTCTGAAAAAAATGACAACGTAGATGCACAGTCAGCCGGTGCCTAGTTCGCAGGGATTGAACCCACGACGTCCTGAATGACACTTGTGTACCTAACTAACTGAGATAGGCGGGATGATGGTTAAAAGCACGTTCACCGTACGAGGAGGATACTTTCCACTACCTTCTTCCCCCGGATACAACGTACGGTCATTATAGCTGAATTCAGACTGAAAGATACCCCAAATACAGCTATACTGACCGTACGTTGTATTCGGGGGAAGAAGGTAGTTACACAGGTTCCTTTACAGGTTGACATCCAATCAAAGCCTAAGAGTAAACATGTTACAAGGTCTGTGAGTGCACCCGGGGGCGCGTGTGCCCGTGTGTGCCCAGGCGTATGCGCGTGCATATGCGCATCTCTGTGCATCTGTGAGGTGTGTGTTTGTTCTCGCTAAACACAATCCACAAAGAGCGGACAGTCTGTCTTCGTGTGGTTGTGTGTGAGATCGGGTGTGTCTGCGAGAGACAGAGCGGGCTTGAAAGCAAGGGACGGCGCGGAAAAGCTGGGGCATAAGTGTCTCGTCGAACATGAGCGCGCGGTGCTTTGTAGCGGCACAGACTGTGCTGTGATCATCCTTCGCGGTGAGCAATACATGCACGCAAGCGATCAACGCAAGAGCACGCAGAGAACTAACTATTCAGGGCATACTCACACTCGGACGTCGTCGTCTGATCTCTGGACGTAAGTCCGCTGAGATGTATTCGACTGGCCGTAATTGCGGTCAGATACATCCAGGGAAGTGCAAACGGGCCGTGGATTGTTGTTGAATTATTGGACGGTAACACACGCTTTGGTTGCTGTGCGGATGTTTCTTTGACTGGCCGCCGTTGCATTGATTATAATTCATTACTTTTTTTCCTTTATTCTATTTCCTTTTTTCCCCGTCCGGTTGTCCTTGCGTTCGTCAATCTACGCCAGATTGAGATTGATTGATTGATTGGCACGGTTGGTCTCGCTACAGACTGACAACTCCTCTCTATGAGTTTATGCCATGAGTGATCCCGGGACTACACTCGCGCTACCGTCTTCCCCCGAACATAACGGACCCTGATAATGACCGTACACAACATGTATTTCCGGTCAGGTTCAGCCAAAATGAGGGTGCGTTGTGTTCGGGGGAAGACGGGTAGTCACTGGCGAGGAAGTCGGAGGAATCGAAGCGCAGGTCGGTCGGTTGGTGAGTGAGTAGTGGAGTGCTTTACCTGAGAGACTGTTTTTGTCTTCTCGTACTGTCGAGTTTTTTTTTTTTTTTTTTTGGAAAGTTTCAATTTAATTGCCAGGCAAGGACGAGGCCGGGGACCTCACAATTCTACCCGGAGTTATCCTGGCATCATCAGCCAGTTTCGCTTACGAGCAAGCTCGCCCAATCACCAGCTACTTCTGAAATATCTCTCTACCTGCTGGAAACTGGGTCCAGCGTCCCTTGCCATTTCAGAACTTCCCAAAAAGGTAAAACATGAAGCTCAGTAAAAAGGAACTGCATTCTACTGTCGAGGTTTCGTAATGAAGGTGCGGACTGTCTCCTCCGTCCCAGTATTATAGGCTGATGATGGTATGGTAGTCGTTATCGCACCAGAACGACAGCCGTTGTCAGTGTGATTCTGCGGCTTATACTCGACCTATTCTGTGGTGACCAATGTCTGTCTGCACGTCATTTGAAGGCAGTGAGACAATTTTGCATCGCCACACAGGCTGTCGAAAACCCGGTTTTCGACAATTTTGCATCTCCACACAGACTTTCGAAGAATTGCGGCTCAAAACTTTTTTTTTTTTTTTTTTTTTTTTTTTTTTTTTTTTTTTTGGAGAAAGTGTTGAATCTTTATTATCAAAGAACAAGTTGAGGCCGGGAACCTCACAATTCTACCCGGAAAAGCTGGGCCCATTACCCAGATTCGGCTCAATTCTGGAAACCGGGTCCAGCGTCCCCCCACTTGTCCTTTAACTAAGGATTTCTCCAAAAAAACTCAGCTCTTGAAACTCATGAAAAAGGGTGGGGGCTTAGCTACACCCGGGTATGCATCTAGCCTCCCTACCACACCTACCTGCCCACCTCCAACTCAACCCAGAACAGAACCAAACCCCATTACCCAAACCTCTACCAACCCTATAGTACAAAAACCTGCAGGTAGACGTGAAGGAACCTGGAGAAGCATAAAACGGACAACTCAGGAAAATAAAACTCATTTCTACTCAAGGAGGGGTACTAATAAAACGGACAACTCAGGAAAAGAAAACTCATTTCTACTCAAGGAGGGGTACTAATGCGTTCCCCGTGACCTATCGTGGCCAATAACCAAGAGCAGAAGGAAAGCTTTCCCCTGTCATCCACCACTACTAACGCTGAACTCCTCCCCCAAGTCTCCTTAAACCACCAGTACTTGGCCCAGCTATCGGCCGCGGAAAAAAATAGAGTACAAACGTTTCTAGTTGGATGAATTTGGGCGCTCCTGTAGTGGCCCCTACGTTTCCTAAAATTGAGTAGAGTTAAAGCTAGGCCACTTTAGGAAGTACTGGTGGTTTAAACCATTTCCTTTGATTTGGACCCACTCCTCCAGATGTATGTCTGTTCCAATCACAAATAATAGTCCTTCGTAGGTCTGTAGTAATTCGTTTCTTGATCTGAATATCCGACATACATTGTCTTGGGAACAGCTGATTATTCCTGTCGTCCCAGATTACCTTCATGATAATCGCTCTGGTTGCCTGAGCTACATATTTTCATTCGCTGTTGCTGATTTTTTTTATTTTTTTTTCAAAAAACTTTGGACAGGTGTCAGAATAGTCGCAGCCAAAGAGCTGCTGGGTCTGTAGAAAAGACCTGGAGGCTTTCAGCCTGTAAGCTAAGCTGGATGATGCTTCCAGATATCTGTCGTGAACGGGGACGTATTGTGGAGGACCCCGGCCTCCGAATGAGTATTGAGTAATTTGATGTTGAATTTTGAGGGGAAAAAAAAAAAAAAAAAAAAAAATTCTGTCACCTGCAGGCGGAGGGAAACGGTTGCTGGAGGGCCTGGTCTGTAACTAACACTACTGCACTCTCCAAGGTGACGGAATTTCGACAGTGCCCGGCCGACCTTTCGAAAATTGCGTTCGCATTTGCGTCTACAGGGACTGTTTCGTCAAGTTCCGTGAAACCCGTCCGCCTGGCCATGACCAAAAACCTTGCCCCTCGACAGCCTGTGTGGCGAAGGGGGGGTAAACTGTCGACGGCCGACTTTCGAATTTTTTCTGACACCTGTCGAAACTTTTTGAGTTTCGACAGCCTGTGTGGCGAGCCTCATAGGGTAAATGGCGTTGGTTTAGGGGCCCTGCTTAACCGGTTGCAATGCTCCCTGCAGGCGAGAGCTCGTCGGCTGTCAACACAATTTCCAAGCTATCAGGATGAATGAGCGTACCGAGCAAACGGAGGGGGGGGTGAATGGATGGTACGGTAGGGAGATCGTGATCGTGATCGTGAGCCAGCGCCTTTTCTTTTAAATTCGTATTTTTTTTTCCAAATCGGCGAACGTTCTTGGCGGTTGAAGGTATAGGGCCTCGCTGCACCACTCTTGAAATCCGCAAAAGACAAAAATCATGTCGCTGTATTTGTCCATATTCTAGCGGAAGATTCACTCTCGTTTTGCACATTTCGACAGTAGTGCAGCGAGGCCCATAGACTTCCCTTCGAAGAAGAGAGATGAGGGCACAGCAGGAGGACCTGAGAGTGCCAGCGCCAATACTACCATCGCCCAGCCGCAGAACCGAACCGAAGGCTCATCCTGATCCCTCCCTGCTCCGACTAGGTGACGTCCGCCGTAGCCAGCGATGGCCGATTTCGCTTCGAGAATCATCAGCAGATGGATATGTGCCCTGTTGCTGTTGTCGTCGCCATGGCTACTACCTAGTACCTGGTTGCCACGGAGCATGCCGCATTTCCTTGCGGCGGCGGCGCCTGCACGGGGCAAGAGCGAGAGCGCGATCGATTGCCGCGTAGTCCACAAGCGTGAAACGAACGAGTCAAGGTCTGTAAATGTTACCGACCCCAATCTCCTCAAACTCCGAGCACGGTATGCAGTCAATTTGATCCTGCCAAAGCACATCAGCGTCGCTTTCAAGGTTTCCCAAATCCAAGGATTGGTCCATGGCATTAGGTCTTTCGTGTTATCTCCCAAGGACCGAACTCTGTTCATCGCGGCGCATAATGGGATTTGGAAGATAAGCACCAACCAGACGAATACATGTGTGGCTAACGCGACGTTGTTTTCCAGAGTAGGAATACGCTGGTCAGATGGTGAACCAGGACTCTCACTCTGGTGGCTTCATGATATGGATTATCACGCCGTGGCCCTCCAAGATCCTCAGTCGGGGGAAACTGGAGCAGAAGTCTTGGCCTTGGGTAGCAACAACACCTCACTAACAAGACTACTGCTTGTGGACGACGAAGTTTACCAGCCAGACATGACAAGAGTAATTCGTGCCCTTCCCATCGACCCCATCGACTCGAATGGAAGCTCGCCGAATGACCTCTACGTTCGCAATCATAGCGGTTTTCCAACCGTCGACAGCATGGTGATCGATTCCCATACCAGGATTTTGTATGCCTCGTCAGGTGAGGCGATCTTCCGAGCTAACTTAACTTACTCCGCAGGGAGATTATTACCCCCTTTGGAGCTTTGGCTCGGAGAGCAACCGAACAGGCCTGAAGAGGGGATACCGTCGGAGCCTCCGCAGAGGGAGTCGTACGAAGACAATGATGACCCCCGTAGAGTGCGATTCGGATCTGCGGTTTTAGGCCCGTCCACCATCTCCCCCGACGGGAAAACAATTTACGTCGCCGATCGGACCGCCGGCGCTATCCGCCGGATTCAAACGAGTACAGGTGCCGTGCATCGCATCGCCGGAGATACGTTAGGTTGGAAGGACGGGTCAGCCTTGGAAGCTCTATTCTCATATCCCGTGAGCTTGGCGGTCACTTACGATGGCTGCAACTTGTTCGTTCTCGACGTCGAAAGCATAGATGAGGGCACAGCCAGGCTCCGGCTGATTACCTTAAATAGCAGCTGGGGGGAGGCGGCGAAGGTGACCACCGTCGCAGAGATGGCTTACAACAAGTTCATGTTTGACAGTGGTGGGCTCGTCCTGGCCATTTCTCCAGAGAGCGACACGTTGTACGTTGCCATGGTGACAAAGATTCTGAGGCTGGGGATTAACACATCGGCTCTGCCTCCTTGTGCCGGACTTTCCCAACGCCGAGACCAGCCTGATTCCACGATGCCACGGCATTCCTTGCCGGCCAACGTGCGCGCAATCGTCCTGACAGGTGCCGGTGTGTTGCTGCTAGTTGTAGCTTTCTGTGCACTGTTTTTCATCGTTATGATCCGACGGTGGAGGAGACGAGTCACGGACAAGCGGGGGACACCTCGTCCCGAACAGTCTATCACTGCTCCGTCGGAGAATGTGAAAAGCTCGGGGCGCATGTGGACAGACACGACCACCGTGTCGAATGAGGCCAGGTCGAGGATGGGCTCGAGGATGGGCTCGAGGAAGAGGGGACAATCACCATTGATCCTACGGCCGACTTCGGGCTTGAAGAGTTACTCGCTGGAGGAAATCAGCCGAGCGTGCGAGAATTTCAGCCCGGAGCTTCTGGTGGGAAAGGGAGGTGCTGCCGAGGTGTACAAGGGAGTGCTCGGCGACGGCCAGGTTGTGGCCGTCAAGGTGATGAAGGATGCGGAGTTCTTGAAATCGGCGAGGTTCCGTCAGTTCCAAGCCGAGCTGGACGTGCTCGGATCACTCCGCCATAGCCAGATCTGTGGCATCGTCGGATACTGTGCAGAGCAGGGCAAGTCGTTTCTCCTCTACCCGTTCGTGGAGGGAGGCACGCTCTACGAGCGTTTGCGGCCGGATAGATGCGCCACTGGGGAGCAAGTTGTCGTCCCAACGGACGGCACCTCTGATGGCAGCGTGTCCGCCCGCCAGAAGCCGCCGTTGGACTGGAAGAGCCGGCTGTCCATCGCTCGGCAAGTCGCAAGCGCTCTGCGATACTTGCACCAGCAGGTGGATCCTCCCATCGTGCACCGGGATGTCAAGAGCAAGAACGTGTTGCTGGAGGATCACGGCGAGGGCGATTGGACTTCGATCAGGGCTTACCTGTCCGACTTCGGGCTGGCGAAGGTCGGGAAGAGCGTTTTCGGCGCGCAGCAGGCGGGCGAAACAGTGGAGACGTACCACGTGGCGGGGACCTTCGGCTACATGGCCCCGGAGTACTACAGCTCGTGCCGGCTGACGGTCAAGAACGACGTGTACGCTTTCGGGGTGTTGCTGCTGGAGCTGATCACCGGCCGGCAGGCGTTTATGAGCCAACGTCAGAAGCAGCAGCAGGGAAAGGAGGACGAAGAGGAGCAGAACGTGGCGAGGGAGGGGAAAGAGGGGAAAGAGGGGGAGGCGAAATCGGCCGAGTCAATGGAGTCGGAGGAGGAGCAGGAACTAATGGAGTCAGGTCCCCGAACTCTGGCATATTGGGCACAGCGAAAGCTCCGGGCAATAGAAGTAATCTCCTCCGAGGACGAGGAAGACGACGACGAAAAGCCGGTCAGATCGTCAACGGCAGCAAGAGAGACAGCCATGGCAAGAACAGCAGGCGTGAAAGCTGGCATGCAATTGGACAGGATCCGAGAGATTGCTGATCAACGGCTGATGGCTCTTGGCGCCGTGGACTGGAGTAGCGTTTGTGGGATGACGGATCTTGCAATGGAGTGTATTAGAACCAATCCGAGACGGCGGCCGCGGATGGGGGTGGTCATGGACAGACTGATTCACCTCGAGCGGTCACTGTGCTTACGGGAGCGGGAGACAGCATGAGCCGCCAACGTCAGGCCCCTGTGCCACGGATCCGAAAGCCAATCGTTCACGGGGAAGAAGAGAGTAACTACGGCAATCGCGCATTATCAAGACTGCATTATCTAATTACTTGGTATGCGAGATGTATCTCAGGCTGTAGCATTCAGGCGTACTACCCTTCCTCCCCCGAACACAATGCGTTGTAATTACAGTATATCTGCATTTGGCTCTGAATTTCGCATCAAAAGAGCACAGCTATACTGGCTGGTGGTTGTGCTCGGCGGTAGGTGGCATTTTTTGACATCGGAGATGTGCCACGCGGCGAACAAGGTGATGATAAGCAGGCCAAGGCTTGGCGTACTACCTTCTTGCCCCGAATAGAACGTACGGTCATTATACCTGAATTTAGACTGAAAGATACCCCGAATACAGCTATAATGACCGTACGTTGTATTCGGGGGAAGAAGGTAGGTGATCAGGCAACGGTGTTACATTGATAGGAAGAGGAAGACGGAGGGGGG